AGGTGAACTAATAGCCCAAAACACCAAAATATAACCCAAAAGGCAATTATTCTACATACTTTTGGGGTTCAGGTGGGGCTTAAGGGGTGCTCGGGTTTCGGGTTTCTGCATGTCGGGCTCAAGGCTACGAGACTGGGGGTGCAGGGTTCAGGGGTTCTTGGTTTGGGCATTTAGGCCTTCATGCTTAAGCGTTGAAGGATTCAGGCTTCAGGGATTTTAGGATTTAGGCTCCGGTCCCCCCTAAACCTTGACCCTACCTAAACCCCAAAAGTAGGTAAAATAATAGCCCAAGACACCAAAATAGAGCCCAAAAGGCCACTATTCTACATACATCTGGGGTTCAGGTAGACCTTAAACCCTAAGGCGGAGTGTGGGAGGTTGGGGTTGCCGGCAAACCGTGTGACTCGGAATTAGCTTTGAGACTTCAGCCTCGGAGTCCAAGCCTTTAGGTTTTAGGGCTTTGAGTTTGGGGTTTAATGTCGACCCATGATTAATAAACCCCTTCCTTTTAAGGGCCTTAATATTAGGATCCCTATTATGATACCTATTAAGGGGAGGGGGTTATTAATCAGGGGTCTACATTAGGGTTTGGGGTTTAGGGTTTGGGGTTTGGGGCTTAGGCTTTCGGTTTAGCGTTTAGGGCTTAGGGTTCCCTACCTGTAACCCCAAGTACCCAGTTTGACGGGATATACCTACTAGTTTATCAGGGGGGATAAATACTAAACTGTAAGGGTAGAACTCTACGTCAACATCAAACCCTGAACCGCGGTTAGGCAGGGTTGCTGTTAAGGGAAGTTAAACTCACTTACCATAATATGGGTATATAGGGATTGTTTTAGTTTAGCAATTTATGGGGTGACCTAATTAAAAGAATTTAAAGAATCTGTAACAGCAACCCAGTAGTTTAGACCCGTCATTAATAAACCCCCTCCTTTTAAGGGCCCAAATGCTAGAATCCCTATTAAAAACTCATTAGGGGGAGGGAGGTTATTAATCATCGGCCTGGGTTACCTGAACCCCAAAAGTATGTAGAATAATGGCCTTTTTGTCTACATTTTGGTGTTTCGGGCTATTATTTTACCTACTTTTGGGGTTTCGGTAGGGCCCTAAACCCTAAACCCTAAACCCCTAAACGAGTGTTTTCAGAGCGCTTTCAGTTCCCGAGCGCCGGCGTCCCTAGGGTCTTGGGTGGTGTTGGGTTTTAGGTTTTAAGGTTTGGGGTGTAGGGTAGGTTTAGGGTTTAGGATTTAGGGTTTAGGTTTTAAGGTTTGGGGTGTCGGGTAGGTTTAGGGTTTAGGGTTAGGTTTCAATGGCCAGGACCCTTAAAAGGGATCCATGTAGGTCGTGGTTTTGTGGTACTTGGGCTCTGTAGAGGGTATTTGCGGGGCCGAATTACGGTTTTGGGCTTAAGGGTGTAGGATTGGCGCTTCCCAGGTTTCGAGTTCGATTTAGCGTCTACGGTTTAGGGTTTGGGGTTTGGGGTTTAGGATTTAGGGTTTAGGGCTCAGGGTTTCGTAATTCATCCGAGAGTTTGCATGCTTATGTCCCAGACGGTCAAGCTCTAAACCCTGAAGCCTTAAACCTCACTTGGCGGTCCATGGGTACTTATCTAGATAGAACTAGTTAGAACTGATGTTATGAGCTTATTAACGGACTTGGGGGCCTCATACTTTGGTTAGAACCATGGGACACCGTTTTATAGTCATACAAAACTAGGAGTACTTCTTTGGGGTTTCCGTAAGAATTAAGGCTAATAACGTTTTGGGGCAGTTTTGGGGTCTATATTGGGGGCCCCCAAACCCTAAATGCTTCAACTTAACAGTCGGTATCCACACCCCTCGAGGGTTTGGGGTTTACCCTAAGGCTCAAAATAGCCCAAAAGGTTTTTATAGTATGGTCTTTGGGCCCAAAAGCCTCAAACTGTGAGCCCTTAGAGCCTTAGGGTTAGGGTTTTCCTAACACTTCTACTGCTAGTACAGAGACGCAGTGAAAAGCCCAGATATCTCGCCATGTAGCCTAGAAAAAGCAAACCACTTCTAGACGGCAGCCCCCGATATCCCAAATCCTAAATTCTACCCTACACGTCCAAACCCTCAATCCGCAAGCGCTACATCCCTAGACCCGGAACCCCAATATGCCCAAACACCTGCACCCCAAGCCCCTAAGACCCCAAAATCCATATAAGCTTCAATCGTCCAAGCTGCAAGTTCTTGATTCCTTCAACGCCAAAGCCAAAGAACCCTACCTGATGTAGAAGTTGCCCGTGCGTTCCATCCCTGACCCTTACCCAAAGGGTGAAAGTACCCAATAATTAGGTCCCCTTTAAAGGGGATATATAGGGTTATATAGGGGTATATAAGGGTATATGGGGTTTAGGGTATTTAGGGTTTA